TGCTGTAATTTGCAGGGTGATGTCGGCATTCATTTTTTTCAATTTCCAATTGACGATGACTTTTTGAAATTTGATGACTATACAACAAACAAAAGTCATATTGAACAACTTTACAACTTGAATGAGGAAAAGCAATATAGACTAGCACCCACACTTACTGATTCTCATTCATTTCCAATTAACTTTCAAAGTATCAAGGTTAAATTAGCCACTCAAGTTTTCAGTCACTCGGTAGCTACAGCGATGAATACCTATGCCAGTTTCAATCAGATACCATCAACAGCAATATAAACGGCTACATTCATTGAAAATGTGGATAAACTGTTTGATATTTTGAATTCAAAACGATTTGACGATGTCAAACATTTTAAAAAACCTTTTTTCGAAACATCAAAACAAATTGAATGAAAGTATTTTTCAGCAAATTAACTGTAATATCAAAAAAATCTCCTACATATTGAGACTCCTATATATTGATGAGGAATATAAATCAGGACTGTGTGGAAAATTATTTTGGTCAACAGAGAAATACTTGTGGAAATGCCAGAAACCCAACTCCTATTCAAATTACCAGAGCTTTCAAAAACACACTTTCTCTTCAGTATTTCACATAGTCAGAAGGAAATAACTATCTAGAAGATACTAGTCAGATTATATGTAGCATTACAGATGCAGACATAAATAGAATGAAGATTATTGTGGAAGTTTAACAAAATCCCTATAAACCTTTGAGAGTAGAGACAAATGATTATAGAACTCTAGCTACTCCAGAAGGCAACATCTTAGGCTATGTTTGTGGATATCTTTTGAGAAAATGTTGAAGAAAACATTCATGTAGAGTATGTACAAATTTTGCCATGACGGCTAATACCACACTGAATGAAACAAATGTATATAGTTATTTCAGGCATACAGTAATACTGAAGCCAAACAGTTTGGAAGTTCATATATGCCTCCATATTCATTTTCACAAAGTATCATTCATCTAGAGATATATTTTCCTTACCAATTTTATAATTTATGTGCCACTGATTGCATACGCAACCAGCTCAAAACAATTTTTTCCAAAATCAATATACCTCACCTTTGTGATAATTTTCCTTTGTATTATTTATTTTCTCTTTTCACGAGGGTAAGAATTTATTATACTTTGAAATTTGCCAATAAAAATTTGGAAACAAATGTTAAAAAAAATCAAAAACTCATCATTCTGAAAAACTTTCAGAATAGATTAGCATACGTTTGTGACCTACCTTGTATAATCTTACTACATAAAATATACGTTTATTTCACCACCTTGTCTTATTTTCGATCAATTCCTAAACGTTTCACAATCATATGAGAAATTTATTGGAAGCTCCTCGTAGCAATGATGAAGTCAGATCATGATCACATACTTTTTGAACGATCCTCGTGCAGAGGTGCACAACAGCTCTTAGCCTACACCCCTGCCCCGCTACATGCCAGCAAAAAATAAAATCTCGACCCGAAACATCAAAGAGACCGACTGGGAGTGAATTTACTTCTGTATACTTATATAAGGTGCTCTGGTTCAGTAATCGATCGACTAATACCCGTACGTCGATGAATCGCAAGATCTGCCAAAAATAACGACGCTATTTGTGAGATCGTGCCAAAGAATCGATTTCGCATCGCTCTCAAGAACTTGGCCTTCCGCAGACCACTACTTTGCGAATTTTGGGTCGTGACTTGGGCCTGCACCCGTACAAAATTCAACTGATACATTAACTGAAGGTAAATGATCATAGACAACAACGTGTGTTCGCTGAATAGTATTTGGCTATGCGGCCAAGTTTTGAATGAATGGGTACGTGTCGCATTTGGGACGATACCGAACCACATAAGATCTAAGGGCGTCCAATGCATCCCGAAAAAGTCACTGTTTGGTGTTGGTTTTGCGCTTTGGGCGTCAGCAGACCATATTTCTTTGAGAATAATGTTGGCCACAGCGAGCTCTTTATTGATTACCAACTTCTTTCGGCGTGAACTGGATGATCTGGACAACAACGACATGTAGTTTCAAAAGGACGGCGCTACTTACCACACAGCTCATGCCCCATTGGATATTCTGCACAAGAGATTTGAAGGCATGAGCATGTGAACTGGCCACCGAGATTGTGCGATTTGAGCCCGTTTGCCTTTTTTTCTGTGAGACTGTCTTAAGTTGCAGGTGTATACCATACTTTGGCAATCCTCACAGCCAACATAACATGCGAATGTGTTTTACCCAGAGAAGCCGTGGCAAATATTTGAACATTTTAATATTCCACACATAATGGTATCAATAGGTCTTTCAAATAAATGAAAAAATTCTATGATATCTCACACACTCTTTGTTTTATTTAAATTTAAAGAGCGCTTAATGAAAGACCCAATATTTGTGTATAGTTTCAAAGCATTATCATTCAGAAAAAACACAATTTAAACGGTTTCACCGTGAATGAATTCAATGATGTTGAAGATAATATAGAAAAAACCTAAAAAATAAATATATAGGCACCTGGTATCACATCACTCTCATCAATGTAGGAAACTTATCTTGAAACAAAAACGTGGAGCTTTGGATAATCTGAGTAAAGATGCAAATCATCGTTCTGTGATAACGATTTTATTTTTGATCAAAACCCTAGGTTGATGGGTTGACTAACGTGATGATTAGTACCTTGTACTTACCTACCTGGTACTTATTTTTTAGTTTTCAGTATATTATCTGCGTTATTATTTCTTCATAGGAAAACAGTTTACCTTGAAAATAGACTTTACTCATTTATTTTTAATATAACTATAACTTCAATTACTTTAATCTAACTATTCGATATATAATCTTTTCAAAGACTCCACTATAATCGGTGCCAAGAAAGATTGTCCTTCGAACAATTCTGAGCCTTAATATATAACCGCGCGGTGTTGCAATTTTTGTACAGTGAAAGCTCGCCAAAATTAAGGGCTCTATGATCGCCATTTTGTTTAGGATGCCATTTTGGATAGGGTTATTTTTTCTAAAGTATATGGGGTTTTTATTGTCAAGCCCTTTCATTTTATATCAATATTGATGGAATAAAAAAATGTGTGTACTGTAGTTTGGTAGTCAAGCCTTTTCATTTGATATGTGTATTGTGGACAGTTGTACAAAAATGTAAGACACTGTTTCGTATCGGCGGCTATCTTAGATTTGAAATGACTCTGAATATACATAATTGTATTGTCATTGAACCTGCAGGTGTGCAGCAAATTTCATATCAATCGGTTAACACATGGTGGGTTAAATTTCAATAATTAAATTTGGGTCACACAAAAGTACAGCTAAATAGAACCGTTCATATAATTATTCAGTAATCAATTCACATATTCAAAAAACACTTCATTGTGAAATTTTTACTAAATAGTTTCCAAAACTGTTTAGTGAAAAATCTCACAATAAAGTATTTTTTTGACATCAAATGACGATAATTGCATCATATAAATTAATTTTCAATTATCCAATAAAATAACTCTATAGATTGAGTTTTGTTAAGTTTCCTAGAAAAATATTCAAATGACTCACCCTTAATGTAAAATGTGATATATTATGACACTGGTTCTGAAAAAGTTCAGAAGTCTTTCTACGTTTATAATGAACTCGAAGCGAATATAATGGGAGGATTTCTTAAAGAAACCATTTTGATGATGTGTATTCTCTAACATTCAAATCAAGACTGATGCAGGTTTTTTCTGCGAATTTTCAATGAGTTTGAAAGTAATCAAAGCGACATAGACAAACACTGGTAATATGAACAAAAATGAAAATTGAACCAATCGGATGTCGAGAACAGTAAGGCCATCAAGTACGATATATGCCGACACAACCCGATGTGATATTTTGGCTGCAGGAAAAAGAATAGAATGACGTCTCTACACGTCTCCCTCTGAGGTCCACCCACTATAGATAACATTATAATCTGAACACTTCACGGAAATAGATTGTCTCAATTTAACTTCCGCCAACTTGAAAAATGCAAATACAGATCGGTTCCAATAATTTTAAGCGTAATAATATTTCTATACGTCACTTTTGATAACCCGGTTGTGGAAGATTTCCAGGATGAAAGCTGGATGGAACTGTTTTCCAACAAGAAGTCAACAAAATAATTTCTCTGGATGGCAATAACGAAGATGAAAAATCAAACAGAAATGTGAAGGACCTATTCTTTCCTGAATTTCATACTTTTCATAGAAATTAAACAGACACATTTCAAGCTGAATAAAAAAACAGAGAAGTATATTAACGAAACGAAATATGCGGTCAGATAGTTCTTTGGAAATAGCTCGAATTATCCTTTCTGAGCTGTCTAACCAACTGAATCGATTCAAATAACTTGCTATAAAAATGGACACTCTTGACTGGCCGATCTCATCAAATTAGGGTGGAAACTCATTCATATAACGTCGGGAGTACCTCAAGAGTCTCATTATGCACCTCTTCCATTCAACATCTCTGTTAATGACATAACATAATGTTTTGAGAATTCAAATTTTAACAAAACTAATAGAAAATTTCACACCTCATAGTCCCTGACTGATAATCCACTAACACGTGTCAGTCCAATGGAGGATCTAGGAGTTATTTGACGAGCAATTGCGATTTATTGATCATATAAATCATATTGCTGACATTACATCAAAGCTACTGGGCTTTATATTACGAAACCGCAAACTATTATCAATCAATTCAGTTAGAATGGTGTATCTTGCCTTAATAGTATTCCGCTTAGAATATGGCTCGATTATTTGTCACATTGGAATGAGTTCAATATGAATTCCTGAGATTCTGTGCTCATGAAATAAGTAACACAATGACAACCATGATTATACACTCCTTCCTAACAATCTCAACCTAGACTTGTTGAGCAGAAAAAGAGAGAATGCTGACCTTATATTCATATACAAATCAATTATTGACCTTATTACATGCCCGAAACTTCTCAGAAGGATTCACTTACATGTGCTGAAGAGAACTCCCAGAAATAAATATCTGTTTCACGTTTCCTTCCATCATACAAACTATAGAATGCACTCTCTTATTGATGTTTCACTTATACAGTTCAATGAAAAATCCTACATCTAGAGATAATAGGTATAGGCCTGTCAAAATTCAAATGTCGTCTCAGAGGGACATGAAAATAATTATACACATATAGTACAGGGAACGAGACTGATGGAATGGGTGTCATGAGAAGATGGGAGAATAAACGCAATAATCCCAAGAGGCTGTACTGTTTTCTGGAGACTTGGACTAAATGGACAAGTCAGACAGCTCCCGAGGTACCAAAACAAAAAATTATACACCAATTTCTTAATGTATTCTCTCATTACTTATACAGTGTGTAAAAGCCAAATGGAATAAATTCATTATTTCGGTTACTGTACATATTTTAAAAAAATCCCTAAACACGTCAAATGTAAATTATAATTCGACCTTATTCAACATAAAAATGACACTGTACCCTTAACCCCCTTCGAATGACAAGTACAACCCCCAGTTTTTTTAATAGGAAATATAAGTTTGTGATATATTGTTTGGAAGGTTTCTTCGTTCTCTATTCGAAAATGTTATCGGTCCTAAGTTTATTACAACAATCAAGATGGAATAAATTAAAATCATGTGGTTACCGAAATTTGATAAAATACACTCAAAAACTAAAATGTAATACATACGTTACACGGACGTAATGAAATGTAGAATACGAAAAAGAACTATGGATGTTGACGAAATAGATGTCCAAAATGTTCACCACAAACGTCTTGGCAACATCCTAATCTCAAATAAAACTGTCTTCTAACATTATTTGATATATCAGTCGCGAACCACCTAATCGTAAGCGTTATTCGTTCTTTTGAGTCATTCAAATCTGAAGGTTAAGTTTCGTACACATTACTTTCTGTATAGCCCTATAAAAAAATCTAACGATGAAAGATCAGGTGATCGTGCTGGCCATTCAATCGATCCTCGCCTCCCTATCCACCGATTGGTAAATGTTGTATCGAGGTATTGCCGGACATTAACTTGGTAATGTGGTGGTGCTCCATCCTGCTGAAACCATATCGTATTCACTGGAATCTGAAGGTTTTCTGATTCGGGATATAAATTTGCTTTGTTATTTTATGCATTTCCGTTAATATAACCATTTGTCAGACTTGAAGTTAACGAATGTCAAACTTAAATTAAAATACTGACAACTAATGTTGTAACATACGGAACAAGTTGACAAGGCGTTTCAAACTAACGTTTCCACAGAAATTATTTACAGTTTTTGAAGAATTCCATCTAAAAAAAAAACATTGCTATGGTTTTTGCCTACTTTCTTGTTATCAATACCTCAACATGAAATAAGTTTTGAGTATATTGCAATAAGTTTCTGAGTGTATTTTATCAAATTTCGGTATTATATGATTTTAAATCATTTTATCTTATCTCTTGCAATGAACTTGAAAGCAATAAAATTTTTGAATAAAGATAGAAGAGACTTTTCAACCGATATATCACAAACCTATACTTTCCTTTCAAAACATTGGGGGTTGTATCTGTCAATTTGACGTGTTTCAGGATTTTGTTAAAATATGTACCGTAACCGAAATAATGAATTCATTCCATTTGGCTTCTACACACTGTATGTATCCTTTATATTTTTCCCACCATTATCTTTGTATCTTAAATTGTATAATTTATAATTCTATTTATTTTAGTGTTTTATTTAATCAGACTGTATATGAATATTCATCACATATGATGCTTGTACTATCATGAAAGAAGTGATCTCGTTCAATAAATAAATAAATAATTCACTGCCGTTACCAGTCAAATTTCGTGAGGGTGATGTAAATTATGATATCCACCAAACAACAAAAAGAATATTGATAGTGAAATGAATCTGTTGAAAACCCTTTACCAACACCAGAACAAAAATACGGTCCCACGAGGCGCGTTTCGTCAATTGAGTTAGCGTTCTCAGGAGATCATTGTGACTAAACTTCAATACTATGTTAGTATTTCAATATGCTAGTGGACTAACTACTGTTTAAAAAATCTGTTTAAAATCTGTTTTTCCGTTAACCAGTTGTCGCACCCCTACGAACTACAACCTTCAGAAGTCGAAACTTGTGCGAGCTAAGGATTAAAGAGGTCTTACCTTTTAACGTGTGATTCCTAACACTACCTGTTAGAAGTACCCAACTACTACTTGTTATTGTTCCTATGCTAAACTACCTTCAATTTGTTATGTATGTCCTCAATGTTGGTGGACAAATTAATTGAAAAACAAAAATTCAGGGAGTATCTTCGTAATGCCTCGACCTTTCGAATAGAGGAAGATTCAAAATGCATAATGTTTACATATGAACCCCAATACACCAATGAGTTGGTCCAAACATTCAAAATATTGAATATAAGAGTGGCTCTCATAACTGCACGTACACTTCAACAAGTTGTTGTTGGGTAGTCCGAAAGACAAGTCGTTAGAAAAAGAAAAGTCTGGAATTTACGAAATGAGCTGTGAGGATTGTGATAGGAAATATATTGGTCAAACCAATATATTTACAGAAACATTTTCAAAAATGCAATTGCACTCTTAAATTAAACGGAACCCCACAAATAAAATATTTAGGAATTTATATAGATTGTTGCCTGAAGTGNTATCTGAGGGCACTATCAATGTTTATATTTATGCCGTTATTTCATTTTGAAGACTCTTGGATCTGTTATAAAATCTTATGATGTATCCGGATATATTAGCCGTAGTTTGAAGCGTTTTGTACCTGACGTTTCGTCTGCTGGTGCGGCAGACGGTGGAAGTTATCTACCTTGCTGAGATCCGCAGACTGGAATGGTCCTGGTGCGTTTATACTCACAATGTGACTAGGTGTAGGACAACTGACCTTGTACCTGATTGCTCCGACCTTTCTTCAATTAGTGGAAAAATATTTGGGTTATGAAGTACCGGTATCAATGTCTTGTTGGTGGTGTCATGGTGTCAAGCTCTCAAGATGCACTTGAAAAATTTCTGAATTCTGAATCCCTCGGTTATTGTGGACCTATATTTATATCTGCTCAAAAGGTATGGATAAGGGTGGAAAAGAAATATTAGAATGTCATAAAAACAAACAATGGTCGCTAGATGCTCTATTTCACTCAAAATTATAAGAATAACAGTGAATGGTTTCAAAATATTTTTCTAAAATATTACAAAGGCAGAATTCTTTCACATAATGATTCTAACTCAAGTTTGATACACAACCTTGTTTCTAACAAGGTTATGTATCAAACAATCAAATAATGTATCAAATAATGTAAAACCTTTTCATTTTATCAAAAAATTATGAAAAACTCCTGGCTAAACGGAATAAATGGAAAACATATAATATCGGACTAATAAACAGACACCAAATGCTCGTAATGAAAACTTCTTTACAAAGCTTGTGATTTTTCTACTTGTGCCTACAGTGAGAAGTTAGTTCAAATATATTGTAAATAAGATCGGACCAAGAGTATACCCTGAGGAACTCCACATTGTGGGGTTCGAACATGTATAATTGTTTTTTTTATTGTTATGAACAGATTGAGAAGAATCTTTGAGCACCTCCTCGCATTGCCGTTCACTCCAAGGTATATAAAAAGTAGACTGAACGTCTCGAAGAACATGTAAATTACTGCCCCCCTTCCATCATCATTAAATGCTTCATCAATCATATGTTCTTGCGTAGAACACTAGTGATATTCCATGCCTACTCATTGAAAATTTCAACGTCGCTGATGTTTATCAAAAACTCAAGTTTACTGCTGGACCCGATCTTATTCCATCTGTCATTATAAAAAATTGAACTCCAGCTTCAAACGAGCTGTTAGCTATTCCTATGAATGTATTCCCGAACACAGCAACCTCACCTTCAATATGGAAAATTTCAATATCTATACTATTTCAAAAAAAGTATATCACTTTTTGAGTGAGATACAAAATTTCAGGCCAATTTCTATTATTTGTAACTTTTATTACAATTTGTATTCTAGAATAGGCAAGCTAAGGTCACGTAAGCATTATTATTATTATTAGTCTCAATCAACATGGGTTTATGAAAGTGAGATCGACTGTCACTTAATCTTGTATTGCTATAATCTACACCGATTTTTCTAAAGCCTACGACAGACTTCATCACAATATCTTGCTCAACAAGTTCTCAGAATTTGGTTCATCCAATGTTTCAATCAATCGTCTCATGTCGTATTCTCAAAATCGTTGGGAGTATGTCAAACTCATTGGCCTCATATACTTACCCACTTTTGGTGTACTGCAACTTCAAGACGTTTACTATTCAATATCTTCATTGGAGATATTTTGGATGGAATTGTTGACTTTCACTTGTATGTAGATGACTTGTCAATCTATCGTTATGTAACATGTCTCTCGGAATACGAACGTCTTGCCTTGAAATATATCTTCCAACATTTCCAAATATCTCGGTGTGATATTCGATTCATCTCTTCGTTTTAATAAACCTGTATGGATTCCGAATTGAAATCACTTGCGATTCTGAAGAAACTTCTAGAGTCAAATTATTATTTTCTACACTCGTTTGATCTACAGTGAAATATGCTTCTGTAGTGTGGAGTCCTTACTTTCAGGATTACATCGGTCAATTAAAAAAAATCATATTCTGCGTTCTTCGTCCACCAAACGATACGCAATATAGGACACTATTCTCTTTACTTGTGAACACCATTGATTTCCTGCAAATCAATCATCCCAGTACCGAAATTTTCATATTCGGTTATTTCAATGTCCACAATATCGATTGGCTCAAATTTTTAAATGTCAATAACGAACAAGGTCGCGAAGCTGAGGCCTGTCTGCACGTCGTCATGAGTTCAATCGGGATGGAGCCCAGCTCCCTTACCCTTTCGGCTGACTTTTGTCGAAGAAGGACAAATGGGTTCATGACTGAGGAGATGGCGGTATGAAGTCCTCAGACATCAGTACTGCCCTTCACGGGATACCCCTACCTGTCTGGGGTGGGAAAAAGCTATT